TAGCTAGATGGCTGCTTCTCTCTTTTTGGATCTCAATACAATGTTCTCCCCCTCTCTTGTGGAGATCTATTCGATGTAATCTTCTTTTTGCGGTGTGTTTGTTGAGACCGATGAATTGTGGGTTTATGATCAAGTCTATCTATGAACAATATTTGAATCTTCTCTGATTCTTTTATGTATGATTGGTTATCTTTGCAAGTCTCTTTGAATTATCAGTTTGGTTTGGCCTACTAGATTGATCTTTCTTGCCATGGGAGAAGTTCTTAGCTTTGGATTCAAACTTGCGGTGTCCTTTCCCAGTGATAGTAGGGGCAGCAAGGCATGTATTGTATTGTTTCCATCGAGGATAACAAGATGGGGTTTATATAATATTGCATGAGTTTATGCCTCTACATCATGTCATCTTACTTAAAGCGTTACTCTGTTCTTTTGAACTTAATACTCTAGATGCATGCTGGATAGCGGTCGATGTGTGGAGTAATAGTAGTAGATGCAGGCAGGAGTCGCTCTACTTGTCTCGGACGTGATGCCTACATACATGATCATACCTAGATATTCTCACAACTATGCTCAATTCTGTCAATTGCTCAACAGTAATTTGTTTACCCACCGTAATACTTATGCTCTCGAGAGAAGCCACTGGTGAAACCTATGGCCCCCGGGTCTATTTTCCATCATATTAATCTTCCGTTAACAAGCTATTTCTTTTGCCGTTTTTATTTTGCTTTATTTACTTTGCATCTTTATCATAAAAATACCAAAAATATTATCTTATCATATCTATGAGATCTCACTTTCGTAAGTGACCGTGAAGGGATTGACAACCCCTTTATTGCTATGGTTGCGAGGATTTTATTTCTTTGTGTAGGTGCGAGGGACTCGTGCATGGCCTCCTACTGGATTGATACCTTGGTTCTTAAAAACTGAGGGAAATACTTACGCTACTTTGCTACATCACCCTTTCCTCTTCAGGGGAAAACCAATGCAGTGCTCAAGAGGTAGCACCGGGTTAACCGCCCCTGGATGCAGATGTTCAACGATTGCATCACAGAGCTTGGCATCCGTGAGCTTGAGCAAACGGGGGCCCGGTTCACCTGGACTAACCGCCAGGCGAACCCGATGCAGTCCGTTCTGGACCGCGTCCTAGTCTCTCCGGAGTGGGAACTCAGATGTCCCCTGGCCTCGCTACAGGCTATCACCCGGATCGGTTCCGATCATGTCCCCCTCCTCCTCTCCTCCGTAGATGAACGCCCCCTCCATCCCTCCTTGGTTCCGGTTTGAGCTCTTATGGCTCAACCAGGCCGGATTCCGTGAGGCCGTTGCGGCTAAGTGGACCGCCGCGCACGATTCTCCTCACTATGCCATGTCCGCCGTGGACTCCTGGCAGTTCTGCGCCAAGCTTTCACGCCAATTTATGAAGGGTTGGGGTGCGAACCTCGGCCGTGATCTCCGTAACCGCAAGAAGACCCTTCTGAGTGCCATCCAAGTCCTGGACGCCTGCGCTGACACTTCTGGGATCTCCCCGGTCGAGTGGATGCTGAGATATGATCTCGAGGACTAGCTCTCGGTCATCTACTCAGATGAGGAGGCATACTGGCGGCTGCGTGGCACCCAACGGTGGGTGCTCTGTGGTGACGCTAAAACGGCTTACTTCCAGGCGATCGCCAATGGCCGACGTCGAGGGAACTCCATTCACTCCTTGTGGGACGGCAATACTCAGCTTGTTCGCCCCTCGGACATCCGAGCCCACGTAGACGACTTCTATAAAGCCCTTTTCTCCCTACCCCTTTGGGTGGGGCTGCGCTGGCCCCCGACACCTGGTCGGGTGCCCAGCTAGTTTCCGACGAGGCCAATGCCGCCCTGGTGGCACCTTTCTCGGAGGAGGAGGTCCTAGCGGCGATCAAAGGAATGAACCCCTCCTCGGCTCCGGGCCCGGATGGATTGCCAGTCTCGTTCTTCAAAACATTCTGGCAAACCATCAAACCGGAAGTCATGGCCCTCTTCGACGAGTTCTTCTCTGGGACCATGGACCTTGGGCACCTAAACTATGGGATCATTACCCTCATCCCCAAGGTCCCGGGGGCCTCGGACATTCGCCAATTCCGCCCGATCACGGCGATCACCGTGATCTTCAGGATCTTGGCTAAAGGGTACGCCAATAGGGTGACCCTTCTAGCGGACTCTGTCACCCACCCCAACCAATCCGCCTTCATCCAAGGCCGGTTTATTTTGGATGGGGTGCTGGTCTTTCACGAAGTCCTCCATGAAGTCCAAGCCAAGAACCACCGCGCGGTCTTCCTAAAGCTCGACTTTCACAAAGCCTACGACACTGTCCATTGGCCCTTCCTTCAGGAAGTTTTGCTTCGAAAGGGCTTCGACGACCGCTGGGTGACCCGCATTATGCAACTCGTCACCTGTCGTCGGACGGCGGTCAACATCAACGGTGAGATCGGGCCTTACTTCCCCACCTTATGTGGGGTCCGCTAGGGTGACCCATTCTCCCCGTTTCTGCTCAACATGGTTGTCGATGCCCTCGCGGTCATCCTTGATAAGGCCAAAGCTTGCGGCCATATCCGCGGCGTAGACCCCCACCTAGTGGGTGGGGGAGGGGTCTCCCTCATCCAATATGCGGACGACACCATAGTTATGGTAGAGGGCTCCGCGTCCGACATCGCCAACCTGAAGTTCCTCCTCCTGTGTTTCCAACAGATGTCTGGGCTCACCATCAACTTTGATAAGAGCGAAGTGATGGTCCTTGGCTATCCTCCGGAGGAGGCTTTATCCATTGCGGACCGGCTGAACTGCCGCCTGGGTTCCTTCCCCATGACTTACTTGGGGATACCCATTAGTGATTCCAGGCTCACCGTTGCTGATATCCGCCCAACGGTGACTAGGATGCAACACCGAGTTGAACCCTGGAGGGGGAGGTGGTTGTCGAAAGCAGCCAGGGTCATCCTAATCAACTCTTCGCTTGCTAGCCTTCTCTGGTTTCTCATGAGCTTCTACGGTCTCCATGAGACCCTCCATCAGGAGGTTGCCAAATACCAGTCGAGGTTTTTTGGGGTTGGTGAGGGCGACAAGCAGAAGTACCATATGGTGAGCTGGCCCGACATTTGCAAACCCAAAGATCAGGGTGGCCTTGGGATCTTGTCATCTCGGCGCATGAACATTGCTCTCCCGACCCGTTGGCTGTGGCGTATCGCCAACGGGGAGCCTCTGGCTTACCATCATCCGTAATAAGTATCTTCGGGGCCAGCCTCTTGCCTTTTGCCAGCGTACGGGTGGATCCCAGTTCTGGCAGTCCGTGATCCAGTTTCTGCCAGTCCTTCGCATCAGCACGTCCATCTCAATTGGATCCGGGTCCTCGACCGTGTTCTGGTTCGACCGCTGGTTAGGGGACTCCCCCTGGCTGCGCGATTCCCAGAACTCTTTGCCATTGCGGCCGACCCTCGGGTCTCTGTCGAGACGGCCCTTATTGGCTTAGAGCGTCTCGCTTTCCGGCGCCCCTTCGGCCCCCTCGAGGTGGCTGCTTGGGACTCCCTCCTACAAGACATCACCCTTATGCCGATGAACGTCGAGGAGGACCTGGATGCCCTTTCCTGGCGCCTTGAGCCGTCTGACCGCTTCTCCACGAAGTCCTTGTATGCCGCCATTGCACCCTCGGCGGCCCCGGAGCCCTTTAGCCTGATCTGGGCCATCCGCCTAGCTCTGAAGATCAGGACTTTCCCGTGGCAATGGATCCATGGATGCCTCCCCTCTGGGGTTGAAGTCCTCAAGTGTAATGGCCCGGGCGATGGGATGTGTCCCATCTGTGGCACAATCGAGGATGCTAACCACATCTTCTTCTCGTGCTCTACTGCCCTGTTCCTGTGGGCTTGCTTCCGCGAAACGCTTTGGCGGCCGCTTAGCCTCCCTCAAGACAGAGACGTCATCACCACCCTCCTCACCGACCTCCGCTCGATGGCGCTCCGCGTGGCACCCCCGCTGTCGCCCCCTCCCCCAGAGCCGGACTAGGCCGTCTAGTAGATCTATGGCGTGTGTGTTATTGTGTTTAGAGCTTGTTGTGTTGTGCCCTCAGCATTGACCCTTATGTCTTCTATGTGTCCTTGTGGACCTCAGTGTGCGTCTGTGTGTGCTTTGTTGAATCTTGTTGGATGCTTCGCTTGGGCGGTATGCTTTATAATATAAAGCGGGGCGAAAGCCTTTTTCGGTACATCTAGCCGCCGCTGGGGATCCCCTCTTCCCTCCCTCGCCACCGCCAGCGAGCGCAGCCGGGCGAAGCCTGATCTTACAGTCGTGGCGGAAAGAAATTATGTGAACAAGAACGCAGTAGAAAGGATAGGACTCGAAGAGAAATGGAGAATGTGGAAGAACAATGTGGAGGAATACAAAGAAGAACAAATTAAGAATGTAGACACTGAAGTAAGGAGATGAACAGGAAGCACATAAAGTGATAAACATATAAGATCCACCCATAGTGAAGAAGAGGAAAATACGGCAGTACATACGATGTATCTGTACACCACCAACATGTACTGTATATTGGAACTATTTCACGTATTCATAACGTAGAAACATTACCTGTCTTTTTACCTATTTTGAGAGCACACAAATGCACGAATCACGGCGCAATCGTATCCAAAACCGCGGAGTGAGCATGACACCTATGAAAACGTTTCTAGCTGATCGGGACTGCTATGGTTTCACACCCAAAGAAAACAGCATGCTCTGTACCCATCCAACGACTTTGGACATTGCCCGTCAAAGACGGCAGCGAAACTTCCTGCCCCATCCATGAGACGAGTAGTCAGTCTCACATGATGTTGTCGAGTAGACGACTATATTGATGAGCAGCAAGGACATAGTAAAAGTTAGACTAAAGCGACTCCCTTTGACCAAGGAAGTATTCCCTTCTGTTGCTTGCTTGATGATTTGGGCAACTCTCGGCGAGTCTGAAGCAGAAAGGAAAGCACACAACTTTTGCTTCGCTTTGCACGTCCATGAAAGGCGAAACACGAAGTGAACAAGTGGCAACCATGCCTGCCAAGAAGCTCGTGCTCCTACGCCTCCTGCTCGTGGGGTTCATAATAAACCATGTAACCCGCACCGCCGGCGCCGGTGACGACGGCCACCAGTTCGTCTACTCCGGCTTCGCCGGCAGCAGCAACCTGCTCCTCGACGGCGCGGCGTCCGTGACTGGGAGCGGCCTCCTGGAGCTCACCAACGGCACGCTCCGCCAGAAAGGGCACGCCATCTACCCGACCCCGCTGCGCCTCCGCGGCCGCTCCTTCTCGGCCTCCTTCGTGTTCGGCATCCTGTCGGCCTACCCCGACGTGAGCGCCAACGGCATCGCGCTCTTCGTCGCGCCGACCACCAACTTCTCGGGCGCCATGGCGGCGCAGTACCTCGGCCTCCTCAACACCAGCAACAACGGCAACGCCACCAACCGCGTCTTCGCGGTGGAGCTGGACACCATGCAGAACAACGAGTTCAGGGACCTCAGCGACAACCACGTCGGGATCGACATCAACAGCCTCGTCTCCGCCAACTCTACCGACGCCGGCTACTACGACGACGACGGCGGCGGCAGCGGCGGCGGGTTCCGCAACCTGACGCTCATCAGCCACGAGGCGATGCAGGTGTGGGTGGACTACGAGGGCGGGACCGGAAGGATCAACGTCACCCTGGCCCCCCTCAAGACGCGCAGGCCGGCGAGGCCGCTGCTCTCGGTGGTGCACGACCTCTCGGCAGTGATCCCGGACACCGCGTACATCGGCTTCTCGTCCTCGACGGGGCTGGTCAGCTCCCGGCACTACATCCTCGGATGGAGCTTCGCCGTGGACGGCCCCGCGCCCGCCATCGACATCGCCAAGCTGCCGAAGCTGCCCCGTGAATTCCCGAAGCCAAGGTCCAAGGCCATGGAGGTCATCCTGCCCATAGCCACCGCGGCGTTGGTCCTCTTGGTGGGGACGGCCCTCGTCCTCCTCAGGAGAAGGCAGCTGAAGTACGGTGAGCTGAGGGAGGAGTGGGAGGTGGAGTTCGGGCCGCACCGCTTCTCCTACAAGGATCTCTTCCGCGCCACGGAAGGGTTCAAGAAGAAGAACCTGCTCGGGGTAGGAGGGTTCGGGAAGGTGTACCGAGGAGTTCTTCCGGCGTCCAAATGCGAGATCGCCGTGAAGAGGGTGTCGCACAGCTCGAAGCAGGGCATGAAGGAGTTCGTCGCCGAGATCGTGAGCATAGGGCGGATGCAGCACCCCAACCTCGTCCAGCTGCTCGGCTACTGCCGCCGGCGAGGTGAGCTGCTTCTGGTGTACGAGTACATGCCAAACGGGAGCCTCGACAAGTACCTGTATTCCCAACCTCAAGAGGCCGACAAGCACAATGGTACTCTGAATCTAAACTGGGTTCAGAGGCTTGGTATCATCAAAGGGATTGCGTCGGGATTGATCTACCTCCACGAGGAGTGGGAGAAGGTCGTCGTCCATCGGGACATCAAGGCCAGCAACGTGTTGCTCGACAAGGGCATGAATGGCCGGCTTGGCGACTTCGGGCTCGCGATGCTGTATGACCACAGTGCCGACCCGGAGACCTCGCATGTTGTTGGAACAATAGGGTACCTAGCCCCGGAGATCGGCCGCACCAGCAAAGCAACCATCCTGACCGACGTGTTTGCCTTCGGCATATTCGTGCTGGAGGTCACCTGTGGGCAGAAGCCCATCATGCAAGGTTCGAAGGATGATCAGCTCATGCTGGCAGACTGGGTGGTGGAGCACTGGAACAGAGGCTCACTGGTTGAGACGGTTGACACCAAGCTCCAAGGTGAATACGATGTCGATGAGGCGTGTGTGGTGCTGAAGGTGGGGTTGTTATGCTCCCACCCATTTCCTGAAGCAAGGCCTACTATGCGGCAGGTCTTGCAGTACGTGAATGGTGATATGCCGGTGCCGGAACTAGTTCCGGCGCACCTGAGCCTCCAGATGCTGGCGTTCATGCAGAATGAAGGGTTCGATTCATACATCATGTCGTATCCTTCGTCGGTGGAGAGCATTAACAGCCTCACTAGCCTTGTGCACGAGAGATAAGATATGATGTTAACATTGGTTTCTTTGCATGTATTCCTTGTCTCTTGTATATGGGCAATTAAGCTCATACTTTGTATGGTATATTTTCTCACCAATATATATGCGTTGCCTGAATGGTGGTGTGCTAATGCGGGAGATTTTAAGCTCTTTTAGGGGGAAATTGTGCCCTACATACATTTGTTTTTTTCTTGGCATGATGAGTAGTAAACGAGAAGAAGACGGAGAATCAGTTTTTCTTCCTTACATAAGTTCATTCTTTTTCTTTTGCGGTAGACACAAATCCATTCATGAGAGGCAATAGGTAATTTCATATTTTCATGCTTAATCTCTTCTCGCTTGATGTATTTTAGCAAAACTGTAAAATAAATCAGGTACATATACATCAATGCATCCGAAACAAATCAACCTTTGACCGTTTTTTAAGTGCAACAGTTAATTTCGTTGAAATTTTTAACCACACAAATCCAATTATAGAGAGGCAATACTCCCTCCGTTCCTAAATATAAGTCTTTTTAGAGATTCAAATGAACTACAACATACGGATGTATGTAGACATATTTTAAAATGTAGATTCATTCATTTTGTTTTGTATGTTGTCATTTGTTGGAATATCTAAAAGACTTATATTTGGGAACGGAGGGAGGGAGTAGTTAATTTCCGACTTTCATGCTTAATCTCTTCTCGCTTGATGTGCTTTAGCAAAATGTAAAATAAATCAGGTACATGTACATCAATGCATATGTAATAAATCAACCTTTGACATTTTTTTTAAAGTGCCGTTGCACATTGTTTTGCATAGAACATGGCAAGTTGCCCAGCTGATGCGACACCATTGTTTGGATCATCGAAACTAAATTTTCCTTGGGTCCAAAACACCAGTTGTCACCGTGGGCCTGACCTGAGGTGAGCATGCTGGTGTGGCATTAGGCAACCCTATTCCAGACGGCATTGTTAATTAATCAATCAACATCATGCCACTTGTGCAAGGCTGGGACGTAGCAGCAAGTATAGTGGAATGTAGTAACCTGAGAAAACATACTGTATGTTGGAAATGATAAGATAAGAAGAGTTGGCGGTACTCATCTTTCAGACGATCCAAGGTGATCGATGAACACTGGACTTTTATCACACCCACACAGCGACGGCTCGGGGGTACACTGTTCGTAGTCGGCGTCGTCATGGTAGCTGCGTCCTTGTTGACTTGGACTGATTGGCTGACTCCATTGGTCGTTTCCTGCGTTTTTCTCCCGCGGGCAGCAGGCCTGCATGTGGTTCACCTTCCTTCTGATCGACGTCCAAACATACACGTCGCCGTCTCCCTCCGGACTAGCCGCCGCCCGCCGGCCGGTGTGGTCGTCGGTTCACACTGCTGCGTCTGCGTGCGTGTGAGCTAGGTAGTCCTTGTCCAATGAAATCAGTCCGCCATTGATGACGTGACTTTCACACAACCTCGCGGAGACGCATTCTACAACTCTTCACAAAGGTGCCTCGTCACTTCTTCAGAATGGCGATGGTGCGCATGTCCTTCCTCCTCCTGATCCCCTTCCTCTCCGCCGGAATCATCCTTCCACTTCCACTTCTACCCGTCGCTGCCGCCGCTGACGCCGACGACGGCGAGCAGTTCGTCTACACCGGCTTCACCGGCTCGAGCCTCGCCCTCGACGGCGCCGCCACCATCACGGCGGGCGGCCTCGTGGAGCTGACCAACGCCACCACCCACCAGAAGGGCCACGCGTTCCACCCGGCCCCCCTGCGCCTCCGCGGGTCCCCGGACGGCACGGTGCGGTCCTTCTCGGTCGCCTTCGTCTGCGGCATCGTCTCCAGCTACACGGACTTCAGCACCCACGGCATGGCCCTCGTCTTCGCGCCCGGCGTCAAGAGCCTGTCGGACGGGCTGACGGACCAGTACCTCGGCGTCACCAACGTCCAGAACGACGGCAGCCAGGCCAACCACCTGTTCGCCGTGGAGCTCGACACCGTGCAGAACATCGAGTTCCGCGACATCAACGCCAACCACGTCGGCATCGACATCAACGGCCTCAGCTCTGTCCAGTCCCACGAGGCTGGCTACTACGACGACGGTAACGGCGGCGGCTTCCGGAATGTAAGCCTCATCAGCCGCGATGCGCTCCAAGTGTGGGTGGACTACGACAGGGTGACCACCCGGATTGATGTCACCATGGCTCCCCTTGGGATGGCGAGACCCAGCAGGCCATTGGTCAGCGCGATCCGCAACCTGTCGACGGTGCTGACGGAGCCGTCGTACATCGGCTTCTCGTCGTCGACGGGCCCGGTGAACTCCCGGCACTACGTTCTTGGCTGGAGCCTGGGCATAGACAGACCTGCCCCGGCGATCGACGCGGCCAAGCTGCCAAAGCTGCCGCAGCTGGGACCCAAGCCTCGCTCAAGGGTTCTGGAGATAACCCTGCCGATAGCAAGCGCGGTGGTCGTCCTCGTCGCCGGCGCCGCCTTGGTTCTGCTTGTGAGAAGGCGCCTGAGGTACACGGAGGTGCGGGAAGATTGGGAGGTGGAGTTCGGGCCGCACCGGTTCGCGTACAAAGACCTGTTCCATGCCACCAATGGGTTCAAGGAGAAGCACCTGCTTGGCGCAGGAGGCTTCGGCATGGTGTACAAGGGAGTGCTTCAGGCGTCCGGGGTGGAGATCGCTGTGAAGAAGGTGTCCCATGGATCCAAGCAAGGAATGAAGGAGTTCATCGCCGAGATCGTAAGTATTGGCCGCATCAAGCACCGTAACCTGGTGCAGCTACTTGGCTATTGCCGGCGGAAAGATGAGCTCATCCTGGTGTACGATTACATGCCGAACCGTAGCCTGGACAAGTATCTGTACGGCCAAGGAGATGGAGATGGTCTCACTTTGGACTGGGCTCAAAGATTGCAAGTCATCAAAGGGGTCGCTTGTGGATTACACTACCTGCACGAGAGGTGGGAGAAAGTCGTCATCCACCGAGACGTCAAGACAAGCAATGTGCTTCTTGACAAGGAAATGAATGGACGGCTAGGCGATTTTGGGCTTGCAAAGCTGTACGAGCATGGCACCAACCCACAAACAACACGTGTGGTTGGAACCACGGGGTACCTAGCACCGGAGCTAGTGAGAACGGGGAAAGCCACCCCTCTGACAGACGCTTTCGCCTTCGGAACTTTCATGCTCGAGGTCGCTTGCGGACGACGACCAATCAAGCAAGACGAGAAAGGCAACCAAATCTTGTTGGCGGATTGGGTACTCGAGCACTTGCATAGAGAGTCACTCGTCGAGGCAGCAGATCCAAGGCTGCAACACGAGTACAACTCCGATGAGGTGTGCCTAAGTCTCAAGATTGGACTACTCTGCTCACACCCGTCTCCCTCTGCAAGGCCCACGATGCATCAAGTTTTGCAGTATCTTGATGGAGAATTGCCACTCCCGGAGATGGCACGCGCAACCTTGAACTTCAATTTGTTAGCTCTTAAGGAAAGAAAGGAGTTGCATTCCGTGTCAAGCCCATTCTCATCGACAGCGATGACCGTTGGCACCATATCTGACCTTTCTGGCGGAAGATGACACATATGATGTTTGATTTTAGTACTGTATCTCGAATCCTTAGCACCTTCTTTAAAATAGTATTACGCCGATCAAATTATCAGGTGGCATACGATATTATGATAGGAGGACCTTGTTAACCGTGTTTAGAGTTCCTTAACAACATATTCTGGTTTGATCTTCTATAAATTAATTTTCATTTTCCTTGTCACTTCATAGTTCAGATTTCAATGATTGCAAGGAAGTAAGAGGTGGATAAATATGAGCAAATCCATTCCATGCATTATTTTTCATTTAATGTTTCGACTTTACATGACAACTATTCTTGTCAGACAGGATTTAGAACGAAATCAGTTGGATTTGTATGAAATGTATTTTAAATGAACAGGAAGTTGCAATTTTACTTTTAGTATGGTTACAAGTTAAGACCACTACATTCTCTGGTCTACTTCCAAGTTCCAGCTCAGAGCAAATTATGCACACTCATACACCATGGCCTCCCCTAAGCTCTTATTCCTCCTCATCAGTGTCATCATCTCCATGCCACTCACTTGTACTTTTAACCAAACAATATCCTCTAGCTCTTCAATGCAGTGTACATACACATGGGATTCAGAAGCATATGATACAAACATTCGAGGGAGAAGCCACTCATGAGAGCGACTGTCATTCACCTCCTCTCCAACTAGCACCGCCACCACCACTTCTTCCATAGTTGCTCGGCTGTCCACC